GAGTATTTTGTTAGAAGTAAATTCACGTATATTATCTTATTGAGAAGATAATCATATTTTTGTTATAAGTAAAATATATATAAATTATCTTATTAAGAAGATAATTATATTTTCATTAGAAGTAAATTTCACATATATCATTTTATTGAAAAAATAATCAGTCATATAATTTCTTGAAGTTATAAAAGTCAATAACTGCCATGAACATAGTTACTATTACTATTTTAAAATAATTATATACGCATAATCTTAAAATGATAACAATACTAATATATCTTTACTTTTTATCTTTTATAGTAAGACTGATAAATTTATAGTTAAATTAGTTATATGTAACTCTCTTGAATTTTAATTTTGCTAAAAGAATATCAATAGTTATGCTTATAATAAGCTTAAGTTATTATAAATAAAGAGAATTCAAAAATAAAAGAAAAAACTAGAGAAATCTATTCAATTCCAAGACATAATTTTGAATAAGTTCTATTATAAAATTCAAATTATCAAGATTATTAATAATAATAAGATTATTATAAATATTATCTTTAAAAATAGTAATATTAAGTAATATATAATTCAATTAGCTAATATAAATAAATATAGTGATAAATCAGCAAAAAAAATTAAAGTTAATATAATTATTTTTTTTAATTTTTATTCTTTATATTTTTTTAAATAATAGTTTTGATAATTAATATAGATAAAGAGATAAGTTATTTTTTTACTATTTGTCATACTATTTAAAGATTTCTATAAAAATATTATTATTCTTATAATATTATATAAAGAAAAAAAAGATCAGTTATAATTAATCTAATCTATATATATTTGATAGATATAAGTTTTATATATATATATAAAATATCTTTATTTACAAAAATATTTATGAAAAAGCTATTATCTTTGTTAAGATAAATTAAAATTCACAAATATATTATCTTTTTCAAGTTTATAATCTTTTTAATTATATTATATAATATATTAGAAAAATTCATATAGAAAATTTAAAATATATGATAATATAATTTGAAATAAAATTTACATAAAAAACTAATTCAAAATAAATAAGATTATTATATTTAAAACTTATTCTTATCATTATTATTATTATTAAAAATACAGAACAGAAATAATATCTTTAAATAATAATTTAATATTATATAGAATTAATAATATAATAAATAAAAATTAATAATAAATAATACTTATATAGTAGTACTTTCAAAAGATACTTATTAATAAATAAATAAAAAATAAATAATTATAAATAAAATATATAAATATAGTAATATACTAGCTAAATTAATAGAACAAGAGAAAAGAGAAATTTTACTAAGAAAACTATCTATAACTAAAATAGCTTAAATATATTATATAGCTTTATGAGATGATTTTTATAATATAATATGTAATATAATATTACATATAGTATAATATATGATATAGTAATAATCTGCAAGAGAAAATATAATTTGTTATAAAGTTTTTGATCTTATAAAATATAAATAATAAGTAAAAGTCAAGTTTTTATGAATTAAAAATCTGCTATTATATACTAAATCAGAAAAAATAAAATAAGTGAATTTATTTAAAAGTCTTTTAAAATACTTTTTTAAATAGTTTTTTTATAATTTTTTGAATCAAAATCTTTTTGTTACTAAAAATATAATAATAGCTATATATAATTTAAAATACTATCTAAAAAAGATCTTGTTTTTAATAAATTATTTTGATATTATACTTATATAAGTAACTAATTAAACTTATATAAAAGTATTATTCTATAATACTTTAATAAAATTAAGTAATTTAATTTAAATAAATATTAAAAGTGAGATATTAAAAAATAGATATTATTTGAAATATTAGGAATAGATATTAGAATTAAAAAGTAAATAGTAAGTTAAATATATTAATAAATAAGAATGAATAAATTATTACTAATTACTAATTTATATATTTTTTTTAGAAAAATAAATATATTAGTATTAGCAAAAAGTAACTATTTTAAAACCTATCTTAAATACTAGTAAGAATCTTATATTTATGTATATAGATTTAAGTTCAAAACTATTAGTAACAAGATATCAGATAATATTCCTACAAATACTTTTAAAATTAATAAATATATATTAACAGAAACTAGAGAAATAAAATAAGTGATTTTTTATGTTTTATTCTTAAGTTTTGCTTCTAATATCTTTTTAAAAAGTTCTATTAATATACAGATAATACTATATTAACAAGATAAATTGATCAATAACTATTTTTGATTCTTGTAATTAATATTATAAGTATTAGTATTAATGATAAAAAAATATATTTTCAGAACAAAAATCTATCAGAAGAAATTAACTTTTCATTAAAAGATCAAGCTAAAGCAAAAAAATAGGCTTTAGCATTTATTTTATTAATTTTTTATCTATTTATATATTAATTCTTTAAATATAAATATCATCTTACAAAATTTTTATTCTATATTAATAATTATCATATTGCTGATATCTATTTTGAAAATATTGAAAATATAGACTGATATTAGTATGATAGATTGGAAAAGATCTATTATAGCAGAGTTATATATATAAAAAACTTATATTCATCTCTCAAAGATAAATATATTATGAATTTCATAATTTATATAATGATTTAGAATCATTAGAAAAAAGCAAATCATTCACGTGACATGGCCAATAAAACACAGATTTTACTAAAAAATACAGATTTCACATGATATGGCCATAAAACTCATAGTTATCGGAAAAAGCGAGGCATCTATACTCAACAGTCACGTGAGAAAATATCTGAATCTTTAAAAAAAGTTTTAGGAAATTTAAAGATTCAGGTGACTGTCGAGTATAGATGTTCCGTTCGAAGCTTATTTCCAGAAGAAATACAATACTTTTTTCAAATAAATTAAGTATTGTACTGTACTGTTATGAATTATGTTGTGCTTCAGAATTCACGTGGTCGTTCTGCCGCATTAGTAAATTTTGGGTCGCGTGTGATCTCATCAACGATAAAAAAAGTGGCAAAAAAAATATTAGATTCTTTGAAAATGGTTGCAGAACTTCCAAACGAATGTCTCCAATTTATATTTAAAAAAATACCACCAGCAGAGATTAACTCTCTTCACTCGATAATACTGGTAAACCGAAAATGGTGCCAGAACGCAATGCCCATTTTGTGGGAAAACCCATTTTCGGAAGAGATTAACCTACCACTATCTCACAAAGTTTTTTCAACCTACTTACTCTTCATTCCCGACTCGGTAAGAGCAGACTTGGAAACCAAGATCAATAGAGTGCTACCGGATTCTTCTTTCGTGAAAAACAAGACTTTTGATTACCCATCATTTCTTAAACAATTTCATTTAGATGAAATTTTCTGGAGTATTAGAAGATGGCTAGACAGTCTAAAGTATATCAGTGAATCTAAACGTGAAAAGCGGCGAGATTACTTGGTTGTGGTCTTTCTGGAAATATGCAAACTATTCTCGAAGCATAAAGTAAAGGTTAATACTTTCATTTCGAGGATCGCATCCGACTACTTTTTCCATTCAACCCTCGAATCTGCCGGTGAAGAATTTGTACAAGATGTTTGTCTTAAAATTAATGATTTGAAACGGAGTTACATCGATTATGGTTGTTTCTCTCACCTGAGATGTCTTGAATTTATTCTTATGAAATATCATAGTGATCTATTAATATATTTGTCAGATCATTGCCGCAACATTTCAACGATAAAAATCACGATAACATGGAGGTCACCAAAACTGGAGTCATTTGCAGATCCATTAATCAAATTTATTAGAGCACAAAAAGGAATACATGAATTAAGCATAATAACGAGGTCTGATCATGGGAACACTACATATGAAATTTCACCCATTTTCAAAGCTATCGTGACGCAAGCCAACTCCTTACGCAAATTAGAATTCGCAAAAATTGGCCGATTCGACAAATTACTTGAATCCTTTTCTAAGCTACAAGATTTTCCAAAGCTTGAATATATCATATTTGAGGAGATTTTCTTAACTGATACTCGTCCCTCAAGTAAGGTAGAATGGAGAAAATCAATTCATTCGATGGTAAAAATTTGTGGTGGTAGAATTGAAAAATTTGTGACGAACACTGCTAGTATCGGTTCAGAAGGTAGAATTTTATTAGGAAGGGGTAATTACTATCACTACCATACATCGAAATCAGAATTTATATATCTTCGACAACTCGTGATTAAATTTGATAGACTAAAGCTTTAACTCAATATACGTGCGTATATATATATATATATATATATATATATATATCTATCTATCCATATATTTTTGATATATTTTATATTATATAAATTTTTTTTAACAATCAAAGATCAATAAATTGCTGCTGCATGTATATATTTTTATTTTTTTTACGGGTGATCAAACGCCTATTTGGATTCTAATAAAGATGAGGCAATTCTGAAAAGGATAGGTTGCCAAGAGTGATTGGACCCGCTTAAAAAAATATAAGTCAATCTAAGTAATGTGTTACACTCTTGAAAGAAACATTTAACTAACGTTATAGAAAAACTAGTGTTATAGAAAAACTCCATTCTAGTTTTTTTTTAATTTTTATATATATATACATATATATTACCCTCTCTCCTCATAATTTATTTAACTTGCGGGTTTACAGTGATAATAAAAATAGTCATAATAATAGCCAATTTATAAATATATAACCAATTTATATACTGTTCTCATAAAACCAATTTCAAGAATTATGAATGGTAATCCGTTGTTAGAGGCTAAAGTTGTAATTCTAGGAAGTCAAGGTGAAAAAAGACTTACTTTATCTCCTTTTTTTTTTTTTGTAAAATTTTAAGTTGGGTGTAAGCTTTGTACGAGCATTTTTGAATTTTTCGCTGGTAGAGATCGCAACAATATAAAAAAAGAATTCCTTGAAATGATAGCAGCTAATTTTCGATATTTTGGTTTTAATTCTTCGGTTTGCTTGTAGGGGTTGGAAAAACTTCGTTGGTAGTTCGTTATACGCAGAAAACCTTTTCACCGAATGCATCATCAACCATTGGAGCCTCGTTTAATGCAAAAAAACTGTAAGTGTATAAATTTTTTTATCTATCTAGAGTCTTGATTTTTATTCTGGAGATATGCCATGGTTATTTTTTTGAAAGAGAATATAGAATTGGTACTTTGGTGATTATAAAATAGATCTGTATAAATATCATCATATTGTTTCATGATATCATTAGATGATGGATGTATGCGCGGTAAAAGTCAGAATATAACGACAGATTAATGCGTATTTAATTTCTTTGAAAATAAGATTTATTTATGAATTCATGGCTCGCAAAAAAAAATTGTAAATATAAAATCACGATATTAATATTTATTTGATTTTTGTGCGTAATTTTTTAGTGTTGTAGATAATTGCAAAGTACGATTACAAATATGGGATACGGCAGGACAGGAACGGTTTCGTTCAATGGTTTGTATATTTTGTCAGTTCAACGCTCGCAATATATTCTTATTAATTTTGAGCTTCTTCGTGTTTACTCTTACTTATGATAGGCTCCAATGTATTATCGTGGGGTATGTTAAAGATTTTTTTAATTTATATTTATGCATGATTTCGATCGCATAAATGGAAATTGACTTTATCTTTTTATTATGTGCTTGTTATTTACTATACATAGGCTAACGCAGCAATATTAGTCTATGACATAACATCTGAGCAAAGTTTTCTAGATATGAATTCTTGGATTGAAGGTATAGAAAAGCTAAAAACTAATACTTTTTATTTTTATAATTCAGTCTAATTAATCTAAATTTTGATTTCTTGTATACGCATGAAGAACTGCGTAAAAATATGACGGAGGATTTAAGTGAGCTGATTTCTCATTTTAAGCAAAAATCCAAATATCTAAAATTCTAAATATCTACCAACCTTTCAGTAATACATGTAGTAGGCAATAAAATAGATTTAGCACCAACACAACGAGTCATACCCCTTAAAAGAACTCAAGAGTACGTTGCTCGTGTTCTGGGCGATAATTGTGGTGTGCATGAAGTATCTGCAAAAGATGACAAAGGTTTGATTTATGTTCGATTTTGTTTTCGAATTTTATCTTTGAAAAAAACCAACTCGATTGAAATTTTCTCTCTACAGGAATAGAAGAACTGTTCCTTCAAATAACTCGAAATCTAGTTGAACGTAAAAATGAACTTGAGCGAGGCCCAAGACCGATAATAAACCCATATAATCCTAACCCCAAATACCGACCAAACCGCATGATCGATGAACCGAATCAAAGATCATGTTGCAATTCATGAATATATATATATGTATATATATATTCTGTTCTCTCACACTTTTTCATTCTTTTGATTACACAATTCCTTGATAACTGGTCGCCTGGATAAAAGAACTTTTCGTTTCCAGTTTTCGGAAAAAATTCATTTCGGGTACATTGTGTGTCTGTGCAATCAATCAGTCAGCCAGTCGGTTCTCCTCTTATCATAATTAATTCGTTTACTCTAAAAAGGATGCGAGAGTGAGACTCCAGTCAAACACTCAATAATTCAATCACTCAATCGAGAGAGAAAGATAATGATTAGTAAATCAATCAATTATACGATGAATATTGGGGAAGAGAGTATTTATTAATTAGGCTTGGCGTATCAACATCGGCATAACGATGCTCCGAATGAGAACCACTAAGGAGATGAATTCTTGAGTAAAATTTGGCTGAGCATAATTTGATTTTAAATTTTCTCTCACACTTTTTCTATATTTTCTCAGCAGCAAAAACACTTTTAAAGAACATTGTTATTTTATTATTAATATTAATCACAACAGCATTCATTTTATTCCTTCTTGCTTTTTCTTTCATGAACTGTATTTATATATATAGCATTATAAAATATGAGTGGTGGTGGTGGCGATGATGGTTATATTAATGATGATGAGCGATGAGTAGTGTAGTAGCGAAGGTGGATAGCAATATAATTTGAATTGACACTTCTATTTTTGCACTGATTATTATCTATTTATTTATTTTTATTTTATTTATTTAGTTTATTATTTATTTATTTATTTATTTATTTATTTATTTATCTATTTATTAATGATTTTCAATGCTAAATTTTTTGATAAGGAAAATTCTAGATTTTTTTTATCAATTCATCCAATACAAGAAGAGATGCCAAGCCCTCTAGACATATTTCGGCCATATAATAATAGCGAAATCCACTCTGTACGTATATGTATGATATCATTATTCAAAATGGGGAAAAAGAATAAAGAAATCATTTGAAAACGAGTTTTTATATTACCCCTGGATACTTATTATTGCAGTGTCTCGTAGACAAACCCTTTGTCCCTTCTCACCCCTCACTCATATTTCAAGTTTTTTTTTATTTGTCTTTGATGATGTCATCTATCCAACTAATGGTAATGCAAAATGTATGTGTATTTGGCATTATTCAATGTTTTGAGGAGGAAAAGGAAGTTCATGTGTCGGATAATGATTTTATACAAATCCGTCCTCTTCACCTAAATCCCTAAATCCTCATCCTTCTAAGTCAAATAAATAATTTTCTCTCAAAATTAATTAAAGCAGAGTACCCGATCCTAAGTGATTCATGTGGTGTAACAGAATTTCACCGTTTTTTTTAATTTAATTTTTATGCAACACCAAAAATTACAAAAATGAAAATCACATCATCTCATCCAGATATACATCAAGTACAAATTTCTTTTAATTACTACTGCACACGTACTCGCACACTCTCATTTGATACTGGAGATAAAAACAGGAACGATATAAAAATCGTGAAGAAAACTCTTTTTTTCTCTCTCACTTTTCGTTTCCATAATTCTATGAAAAACTTGAGCGCAGACCTTTTAGTTTTCACATAACGCCATACTCAAATAATATCTCGGATAAAAAACTGTCAACGACGGTTTTTACTAAACAATAAAAATCTTCAAGGAGAATATTTCACACGACATGTCTTTTCTTTTCAAATCGAAGACAAAGACCCCGCATGAGTTGGTGAAAAATGTCAGAGAGGCGATAAATAAATTGGATGGCGTGGAAAAGAAAAAGGTTGGTAGATGCCCTATTCTTACGTGAGAGGCACGTGGCTTCTTTGTATCGTATATATATGTCATATATGTGGATTAGTTATTGTCCGATATGGAATTAGAGTAGGATTACGTTATCAATCTCAATTGTTAATGTAGTTCTTGGATTGGACACTACATTTTGATAAAACGAGATTTCTCAATGTGTAAAAAGTGTCCTACACATGCTCTATATAATATCAATGCACTATCAAAAAGTGTTTCCTGACATTCACGTAATGACAACACGAACACCTGTTTATAGCGAAAAAGATAAGAAGAGCGGTCTCACCCAATGTTATTTCGTAGGCAGGTGAAGATATTTCCAAGAATTTGGCGACTATGAAGAATATCCTTTGTGGGGAAAATGGTAATTGATTGATTGATTAATTAATTAAATAATCATGATTTTTTAAATTCATCGTCCATTGTCTCTCTGTGGTTGCGCGCGATAGAGAGATAAATCAGCTTCTTATTATGGTAGAATCTTGAAGATGATGTTAAAAAATTATTATTACTTTATTAGATGCTGAACCCGTTCCTGAAACCGTCGCACAACTGGCTCAAGAGGTTTATAATAATGATATACTTCAATTGTTCGTGTTGAATATATGGCGCTTCGAATTTGAAGTATGGGATTAATTTTTTTACGTTACGGTGGTTATATGAATTGAATTAATGATTGATTGCTCTGTTGAATAGGCAAAGAAAGATGTGTCACAAATATTTAATAATCTTTTAAGACGACAAATCGGTTCACTCACACCGACTGTCGATTATCTACGGAATAGAGAAGAAATTCTGTTCACATTACTTAAAGGGTTCGTTGTCTGCTAATTTGTTATTCTTTCCTTCTTTGTAACATATTAAATAGATGATATTTCTATTAAACCCACTTTACCGTTGAACAAATAAAAAACAGATATGAAAATCAAGAAATAGCTCTTAATTGTGGGATGATACTGCGAGAATGTCTACGACACGAATCGTTGACCAAAATCATTTTGTATTCTCCGCAGTTTTATGATTTCTTTGAATATGTCGAAGTTGGCACATTTGATATCGCAGCTGATGCTTTTGCTACTTTCAAGGTTGGCTCTAACATCAGGCTCTTTTCATATTTACCTTGCCCTCTATATTAATTCACTCGCGTCTTTAACTAACATGCCTTCGTTAAGAGAAATACGGAATTTTTTATTAATGATTTTAAATTCTTGTTGGTATTAGGACATATTAACACGACATAAAACACTGGTCGCAGAATTTCTAGATAAGAATTATGATAAGGTGTATATAAAGAATATAACGAATCATCGATTCTTTGAATTATTGGAACTAAACCCTGTTTTTCAATCAAATCACAATCGAAAATCAGTTTTTTGAACATTATACCAAACTTTTAAATTCTGGAAATTACGTCACAAAGAGGCAATCTTTAAAAGTAAATTTTTCTGATGATACTAATCATGCTATTTTTTTACGACTCTTTATAGTTATTAAATTACCCTCTTTTCTATTATAATCGATACCTTATTAAAGTTACTTGGTGAAATTCTTCTTGATCGATGTAACTTTAATATCATGACGCGTTACATTGCGAATCCTGATAACTTGAAATTAATGATGAATCTACTCAAGGACAAAAGTCGTAATATACAATTTGAAGCTTTTCACGTGTTTAAGGTTTTTTTAAATATTCTTTTCTAATGTACAAATTTTCATCGTTATTGAAAAGTTAATGACAATATACGCATATTTTTATTATAGATTTTTGTCGCAAATCCGAAAAAAAATAAGCCAATTCTGGATATTTTGCAAAAGAATCGCGAGAAATTGATTGCTTTTTTGAGTAATTTTCATAATGACCGACATGGTAATCTTTTTTCTTTTAGCAATCTCTTTTGTTTATTCTCATTTCTCACTGATTTATTTCATTAATCGACAATCACAACGAAAATAAAAGATGACGAACAATTCAATGATGAGAAATCGTTTTTGCTGAAACAAATTTCAGAATTAGAACCTTCAGAGTCGAATTAATGATTTTTTTTACTTGTTTTTAATTTATTTATTTAATACTTTCTTATTAATTTACAATAATTTTAATCTAATTAATGTCGTTAAAGGACGTTCGAAAGCTCTGACAGCCTGTTTACATTCCAATTACTTTTTTTGCACAATATGCACTTTCTGATTATTATTTTTTTTTTCTCTTTAAACAAAAACCAGAGTCTTTTCATTCTCTTTGTAATTTACTCTCATTCGCGAAAATTCTTTTAATTTCTTTTTCTAAATAAAAATTGATTTATAACATAAATAATGACGCGGAATTTACTATACATGGTTTATTATTTAGCCCCAAAACCCCTAAAAGAAGTTAAATAATCACATGAAAACCATTGTCTGTTTATTGTTATCTGTATGATCTATCATCAAATACTTGGCCTGTGTGATCGAAATAAAATATAAATACGCTTAGATTCTCAAATCTCCCGTTCCATTTCCAATTTGATTTTACCATTAAAAATTTACCATTAAAGATGACGGATCACCATGGAAAAATCCCCAAAGACTATGTGCGTTTGGGTTCTCATATCACGCTCAAACATGTAATGACTGGCAGATTTCTCGCTAGTCAAAAACAGAATTATCATGGTGGTTCTCAGCAACAAGTTTGTATTTTTGATCAATCAAATTATGATACTTGTAGATAAAGAGTGAAATATAAACATTTCGCTTAATCAAAAATCAGCAAGTTTTTGGTAACCGATGGACACCAGGCCCTGATGATTATTGGATCGTGATGCCAGCACACAAACATGATGGCGAACCCGGCGCTAAAATACGATACGGTGATGGAATCCGATTGAAACATGTTACAACTCGGCGTAATTTGCACTCCCATAATGGATTCAAGTCACCGGTATCGAACCAACAAGAAGGTATTTTGCGAACTATTCTAACATTATTATTATCCTTTATTAATTCATCTTAATTTGTTACTAGTAACCTGCTTTGGAGACGATCACAACAGCGATAGCAATGATAACTGGATAGTACAACGACACAGCTACAATCAAGTTTACGAAAAGTCGCAATGGCATGTAGACGATATAATATCGTTGCATCATGCGAATACCAAGTTAGCGCTTCATAGTCACGATATTGCGCTCGATGGCGAACATCAAGAAGTCACTTGTTTCGGTAATGGACATGAAGAAAATGATAAGGTGTCGTTTTATTAATTATTAAATTATTTGATTCGAGCAAATTTTTTACGTTTGAAATAAATTTTCTTTTATTTAGTGGCGAATTACGTTCAGTTAAAATTTATCGAGAACCATTGTTTATCTATATCTGGCGCCCGTGAGAAATATTTGCGCTACACATATTCTTCAAGCTAGAGAAGCTTATTTTTAGTTGACACGTTTGTTTTTGTTTAACAGAATATAATTTATTTTTAGAGAAAAAAATTCGGTTTGCTTACATGTTTATGTAGACAAAAGAGTGAATAAACAAGTTGATTAAATATTAAAAAATTAAATCACACAAAAGAATTTAATATAGAACAACGATGAGAATAATCAAATTTAAAGAATACAAATTACATTATGATATTTATACATTTTATAGAAGATTAATCGAAAAATAATTAAATATACGAAAAATTGTCCTTGAAAAAAATATTTACATCTATCCGACCAAACCCGGAAATCCAACCATTTATCTAGCCCGTTGATATTTAAAGTCTATTAGGCTGTTGCAACCGACTGAATCCTCATCATAAGTTGCGTCATAAAATAAGATAAAGCTATCGAAACTCCAATGCTAACGTACATGGGAACTTGGATATTCAACGCGCCAGCTATTCCTTTTTGTTTCATTTTCTTATTAAATATTTCGCTGTTATTCGTTAGCAGTTGTGGACTACCAATTAACGTGGCACCAGAAATTGGATTTGAGTGCATTGATCGCGCGGAACTTGGTGAATTGGATTTTGAGGATGTCATTGTGATATTTTCTAGGATTAGTGGCTTTAGTTCCATACTTGCTCGTTTATTTGCATTTGGCATGTTACGATTCACTTCGCGTGCTAGACGGCCACAATTTTCTTCTTTAAGTATTGAATAATGATCTCCGGTCACGGAATTATGTACTGTTATTCTGCCTTGATATCTTTCCCATCCGAAACTTTTGCTTTTGAATAAAGGATGATCGAGTAAAAGTTTGCTTGTTTTTACATTGTAATTTTTTGCACGCCAATAGTGAACATAAAATGGTTGGATAGCGCCCAAAGTTGTGATGTCATCAGTATACTGATACATTGCAGCAATATGTTTGCCAATATGTGTTCTTAAGTTTTCGAGTCCTGTCGGATTGGTCTCTTTTTGTTGTAACATCCATTGACTATCCACGTCATTCAATAGCTCGTCAATTTCTTTTGCCCATACTTTGTGCGGCTGTTCATCAGGACCAAGTGATGGTCGGACATTTTTTGATAGTGGGGATGGTGCATCAAGCAAATATAATCCACCTACACGTTCATTTGATGCAACAAGTTGTTTTGCCATTTCCCATGCGACAAGACCGCCATATGAATATCCACATAGAAAATATGGTCCGGAAGGTTGAAATTCTTGTATTTCAGTAATATATCGGTTTGCCAACTTGACAATGTCAAACTCCATATCTTCAGGTGCATTTAGTCCATATACGGGACGTGTGGAACCGATAATACGAGCAAAAGAAATATATGTGGCGACATTACCCAATAAAGGATGGATACAGAATAAAGCTGGATTCATTTTGTTATTGATGGTTGCGGGCGCAAGAGGAACAAGAATCGGCGCGGTGGGTTTTTCATTTTCAACGTCGTCTTGTCTATATTGATGGGATTTTTGTTGTTTGTGTGATGGACGCAGTTTTAGTTGTTTTTGAACATGTTCGGCCAAATCAGCGATTGTGTACACATCATATAACAATGTTGGTGGAATCTCAATACCAAAAATTTGTGTCAATGAAGCTGTTAACTGCACAGCAGCCAACGAATCAAAGCCATATTCGGTGATGAGATTAGCTGAGATGTTGATTTGTTCGAGTGGGATTTGCGAAGCCAATTTTGATACTTTGTGCACTTGCTGCGTGATAGTCTTTTGGATTTCCGAAATTGGAGGACCGGATACCTCAGTATCTTCTGGTTCTTGAATTTGTGTGATTTGTTTAAAAATATGATTCGCAAGTTCTGAAATTGATGGAAGGTCAAGAAGAAGAGCTGGCGCAATTTCGATTCCAAATTCTTCTTTGAGACAAGCGGTCAATTGAACGGCAGTAATCGAGTCAAATCCATAGGTCATAAGTAGATTCGAATTCACATCAATTACTGACTCTTTGGCCGCCAATTTCGATACACGTTGAACTTGTTTGGAAATTTTTTGTTCAATTTCTGGGATTTGCATTGTCGGTGGCTTTTTCGCGAAATATCCACTGGCTGGGCGAGATCGGGGTTCTTTTGCGATTTCACCAACTTTGATGACAATTTTCTTATCTAGTGCCCCACTCATTAACATTTCCTTTGCCCGTGATCGTTGGATTTTGCCGCTTGTGGTTTTTGGAATACTTTGTTGTTTTAGTAAGGTGATTTGCTCGCATGTGAGCCCATGATTTGCGGGTATTTTACGACTGATTGCATTTATAATTTCTTTGAGTAAATCTTGTGTTACTTCTTTGTAATTACGAATTTCTGCAATGATTATGAGTGAGTCTGTTCCAGTTTTTGGATCGGAATGATGAACTGCTGCGACACATCCAGCTCTAATTGATTCATGTGATTCTTGGACTGTAAGTTCAATATCTTGAGGATAGTGGTTCTTTCCATTAATGATAATTACATCTTTTTGTCGACCAGTAATAAATAACTCGCCATTATACATGAATCCAAGATCTCCGGTTCTCAAAAAACTTCCATGGTCCTTAATCCAATTCCCATGATCTTTATTTTCCAATTTTGCTCGAAATGTTTCCTCCGAGATTTCCTCTTTTCCGTAATATCCTCTACCAACACTCGGACTACTCATCCAAACTTCTCCTACCGTATTCGGGGAACACAACTGTCGCGTGTCCAGATCCACGATGCGTACTTCAACTTGCATCGCGAGGTTTGGTACACCGGTGGAAACGATATTATTCGGACGTTGCGAGTTATTACGAACTTTGGCGTGTCCAGCTCGAATTTCATCTGGATCAATGTCAATCACAGTCGGAACGTCATAAAGATTACGAAAACCGATTGTATAGGCACAATGTTCCGCTAACCCGTATAAGCACTTAAACATTGACAATTTAAATCCGACTGGTCCAAATTTTTGTGCAAAAGCTCTCAGGGTGGTCCATCTGACAGGTTCAGCGCCGTTGAAAGCGCCTCGAAGAGAACTTAAATTGATATTTACTTTATCCAAATTTGTTTTTCTGACCGCAAGTTCATACGCGAAATTAGGTGCAGCTGTAAACGTCGCTTGATAATTACTAATCATTTGTAACCAACTCTCCGGTTTTTGTAAAAAGGTAAGTGGTGACATTACTACTGATTTGCAACCTCCACGAATAGTATTCAAGAAACCTCCAATCAAGCCTAAATCATGAAATTGCGGAACCCAAAAAGCGATTGTTGAATCCGAATTCAATCCGATCTCAGCTTGCATCAAATCAACATTATGCAATAAATTCTTGTGTGTCAACATAACACCTTTAGGATCACCAGTACTACCAGAAGAAAATTGAAGAACTGCAACGCTTTCACAGCTCAATTCCTCAATTAGACGCTCCTCTAATAATTGTTTTGACGAGATCACGCTATCACTTTCGACCCAAGTTAAACCCTCCGGCCACTTGATTTTGTCGCCTAGACCGAGAAAACTTTTTGCCGCGTATAGTTTCGTGTAGAGCATATAATTTTTATCGCTGAATACTAATTTTGCACCGGTTGTTTTGGCTAGATATGTGAATCGCCCGATATCTTTTTCCGCGGACGCGAGGTTCGGTGGTGCGATTGGTACTGCGATTACCCCAACCATCATGCACCCAAAAAGGATTGGCAAGAATCTTAGACCCGGTGCATAGCATAATATAATCCGATCGCCAGCTTTGTGGTGAGCGACTTCAGTCAGATAATAAGCCACAGCACGAGCTTGGCGATAAAGTTCGTGATACGTTACGATCATTTCTACCTTCATGTTGGAGTCTACAAAGGTGAATGCTTCTTTATTCGGAAATCGTTTTGCGGCTAAACGTAGAATTGTACCCCAATTAGTGGTGGCAGCAGGTTTTATCTCTATAGGCGCGGAGATCGGTAAATGTTGAATTTCTTTAGAAGCTTGCGAGCCTTCGAGAGTAAAGAAACGTTTAACGAAATCTTTACTGTAAGAGACACAATTTTCGGTCAATTCAAAATCTAGCCAGCCTCCCACGTAGAATGTGCCGTCTTGACCTTGAATGTTTTCAACCTTACTATAAAACCCTCGTGCCATACTAAGCGACGAAACTAATTGTATAAAAAGGGTCATTAGACACGTGTTTTTAATAGCTTGATAAGTAATTAAATGACAACATACCATGAGGGAAGAAATCCCATTTTTGATTATAATGAATCTCCTTTAATTCACCTCCCATTTTCAACAAATCTTCCTTAAATATCTCAGTCACCTTTTCCTGGTTCAACTCTTTATTCCCGTAAGCATAAAACAAATAGGTTGGTACTCCTTCATATGAGCAGTAAAATGCGGTAATATGACCGACAAACTCTTTATCAGCGCAATATTTCGGTATGGTAGTCATGCCAACTTTAGTCGACAGCCCTTCAACCGTGGCAATAATGGTATAAAAGTCAAAAGTCACCACTTCTTGGAGCAAGGATTTTTCAAACGGGTTAACATCGAGAAATTTTTCAGTTTGTCGTGGATTAGTGGCAATAATGACATGGTCAAGGGCAAGAGTTTGAGTGAAATTGGTTTCGGTGTTTTCGGTGGTTACGAGAATAGGATGGTTTGGATTATTTCTGCGCAGAGAGCGATCTATTGATGTAATTTTTGTGTTCAGTTGCACATGATGATCCTATTATTTGTGTGACCGGGAAAACAAGACATATTTGGGATATGTTAATTAAAATTCTGTGATATGTGACACACTTTTTTTGGTAATTGCATAAATGTAAACAATTGTTTTTTTGGAAAGATTTCTATTGTCTAAATTCAGTATTGTGCGTTTCATATGTTGAATTTATTTTTTTCTTGATTTGGAGATATAGATCGAAACTCAATGAAACATGCATACCTTCATCATTTTTTCCCATAATTCCGAGAATCCATTAGGAAAATACCGAATAGTATTCTCTGAATTCTCAATAAACTTGCAAAAATACGCAGCCGGTATATCATCGCTCAAATATCCGTAACCAGCAGAAGTGTACGCCAAACCCCATGCGTCCCTCAAATATTCCATTTTTCGATCTTTAAGATATTGCGAGATCGGAGCATACAATTCCCGTTCGCTAAACTCCCCATGGCCAGGTCGTGAGGCCATCTCAAACACCGATTTCTCCCCGAGGTAATGATTCATGTGAGGTATTAATGCGTGATAAATTCCAATCTTGTCAGTATCATCGTGAATTATTTTTCGTGTGTCGATGTCTAAAGCTCGACCTTGGAATTTTTCTAACGGACATTGGTATTCTTGAGCAAGTTCTTTGATGTGTGTGTAGTTGTTACCGACCATTAGTGCACCAATGTCATACTTTCGCGAGTCTACTGTATAGTAGCCGCTTTTTCCTGCGATTCTTGACGAGGAGTCAAGTATTGTTATGTGTTGGTAACCTTCTTTTTTTAAGTAGTAGGCAGCTGAAATTCCTGCGGGTCCAGCCCCAATTATCCCTATTCGTGCAGTTTTTGGTATTTGTTGCGTGGGCGATGTCATTGGTATAAAATTATCGTTATTGTTTATCGTGAGGTTGTTGATTGAAGCTGTTATTAATGAAGTCACTTATTTAAACGGACTTTGAGTTTTTAAAAGAGATTTTAATCTCTTTATATTATTGACAATTAAATAAGGTTTTTAAAAATATAATGTATAATACAAACGGAGAAGTATTGGACGACGGTGAATTGTTGTTATAATTTACAAATAATACAAAGCTGACAAAATAAAGATAATTAAAAATTCAACTGACTAAGTTTTTTGTTTTTTGTTTGTGTGTGATTAATTTTACAAAACACAAGAGAGAGAGAGTGTTTATATGCGAAAAGCATATATATATATATATATATATTAATTATATTAAAGAAAGGAAAGAAACTTAAATTTCTTGTTTTTTTTAGCTTGGATTTATTTTTTAGTCCTTTGATCCAATCGAGTATATATAAGAATCGAAGATAATGACCGATTTTAGAATAAACTTTTATTATGATAATAAAGAGATTAATATAAATAAATAAGGCGTGAATTATAAAGCTTGAATGAATGGTAAATGATAATAATTGATTTGTATTGTTCCCTTTTTTTCTTTTCTCGAATCTCGGTGTAACTTTTAGAAAACAAGATATCGATATATTATAAATTATTAAGTTTCTGTGTAACTTTTTGTTTTGAGTGATCGCTCTTGCATCATAATACCAGACCGGACCTTTTTTTGGCGCCGATGAGGAAATGCCTCGGATCCTCATAAAAGAGAAAGCTGTTGATTGGTTTTTTCGCTATGTTACAATTTTTTATAAACAGATCATGGACTATACATAATGATGTCTAAATTATGATTATCTTCATGTTTAAAGATAATACATCACTGGATCCTTGGGAAAAAGAATGGCGTAAAAAATTTCATTCGTCTATATTATATCGTATCGCTAATACTTCGGCCTTTTCTCATTGATATTATGCGCATTTCATTTGGAGAGTCGTAGTTATGAAATTACCTTAGTCTTTGTAAAAAAAACAATATCACCAACAATCAATCAAATGAACAAAGACACAAAAGCAGAACTTGTAAAGTTTTACCTAGTGTATATCTTTTTTGCTAGGCTCGCTTCAAATAAAACGTAGTACAACATGTGAATTATCCCTTTTATCGTTGTCATATGTATCCACGAGGGACACAGAATATACATACAATTATGATATTAAAAAAAAATTAATAGTATAAAATCCGCATTAAAGCCTAGCTTTTTGAGTGGCTGTTACTAAATTTGCCAACAAATCTTCGTGATAATAGAAAAAATTTTGAATGAATAAATTTAATATTTCTATTCTTAGACTCTATAAACGCGTGCATACACCTACTGACTTTAAATAAATATAGTCATGTGTGTTACCCGCTACCGCTTCACCGAAAGAGCACTGTTCCTTACGTGAAACCAAACAAAGGTTGTGCAACGTTAATTTTCGATCGATCAAATGAATAACAACAATCATAACTGAAATTCTTTTAAACAATACTAACCGATAGAGATAATAATAATTATTTTTTTACTGAATTTGATAGTTCCTATTTTTTTAAGTACTCTGTCATTTTCGTTATTTTTTCTAGAATGCAATCCAATTCAATAAAACAGGCATTATTCTTATGTATGATAATGATTACTATTAACGAAATACGCTAGATTTCGTAGAATCAGAAGAATGAAATTCCCATTATCTCAACAGATTTAAACTCGCAATAATGAATGAAAAAATTCAAACAATCAGAATTTGAAATACAATGACATGAGATGATAAAGCAGTTTTTCTTTTCGCGAAGACGACAGAGTTTGTGAAGCGTGTATGGTGCCACTATTATTACACAGCAGCCAGCGGGCAAAAGGAGACTTTTATGTAATGTTACGTTACATGCACGACGTAGAAGTAGAAGGAGATCCATAGATCACGAAGTGAGAATCTAAAGTTTAAGTGAACATGATCATTTTTCCCATTATTATCTGTAAGCGAGGTTGCTATTGTTGCATTGTCTATCTTTTGCTGTATGGTTTTTTTTTTTACTTTTACTTTGCACTTGATTCATGTATGTGAGATTAAAATGTAAGTTGAATTCAAAAATCTATCCCTCAAAAACGCATTCAATGAAACACAACGTAAACTCTAAAGAACGTAAAGACATTAATTCAATATGTAATAAATGCAAGGTAAAAACCGTTCTAATGAATCAATTAAAGTAAGATGAGCGAATCGTGCAGTAATTAATTCATAATACTTTGGGCAGAATCCAATATTGAATATTGTTGCGAGTTTGATATTGTTGCTATTGTTATTATGTTCATTATATGGAAGAAAAGAGGGTACACGCAATCTTATGATAATGAACATAATAAATTAAAAATTAAATTAATGATGATCCCTATCATTGATATTGATTTGTTCCTTTATGTTAACACAATGATGAGGAATAATGAAAAACCCTGAGATTTTATCTGCACGCATAGTTTACGTGAATGTGTAAATTCAAATTTACAAATGAAGGATATTAATTTATTCGTGACAATAGTAATCTTGAAAGAAAGCTATTAAATATTATGAAGTTAATATACAAAAGACAACTACTACTAATATACAAACAAGTAGATATCAACGAGTACACAAAGCATTAAAAAGTAATTATATTTATAATAAACAGGCGGAAATTAAAAAAAAAAAAAAAAAAAGGAACAAGAAAATTAGATAAAAACGTCTATTAGATTAGTGTCTCTTGATTCTTAATTCGCGGATTAATTAAATAGTAGGTTGGTTGCTGATTGATTGATTGATTCTATAAAGTGTCCATTGAATTAAAAAGTGAAAAATGTCAAAGTGACAAATTACGTTCGTGAATGCTCAATGCGCTATTTCCTATATTTTTTTCGGGATGTGCTGATGTAAGATTAGAAGCGGCCGAATTCGGTCTTCTCGAAGAATTCGTTTGGAATTTTTGTTTTTTAAAAAGACAAACTCAACGATGCTATCATAAAATAATCAAAATGTTAGGTAAAAAAAAAAAAACTGTAACCTATTATAACAAATACAACGAAAGGAATACATACCAAGCCCTGACGCCATTTTACTATTCTTTTTTGATGATGATTGCTTTCCACCTCTATTATCCCAATTATTACTCGTCTCTTTACCATTTCCATTGCGAATTTTCTGCGCATGTCCGACCAAACACTCTATCATTTGATTGTAGGTCTCGGCGTCCATGATGGTTTGTTCACGCTGATCGAGCCAAAATGTTAGTGTCTCTGATGTTTGTCGGTATAAGCTATCAAGCTGTTCAAAAAGTGATTGTAATTCAGAGATGGAATAGCTGCGTAACTTTTCTGTAATTGTTTAGATATGCTATGTAAATTGATGATAAACAGAAGTGACTATGTCCCCGATAATAAACAAACAAACCTTGAGGTATAGAACTCATCACTTTAATTTTTTCCAGGTCCAATTGACTTGCAATTGTTAGATTTTTCGCCCTTGCATCAGCAGACGTGTCTAAATTTTTACGATTAGACACCGGAAGTGACGTCGTCGATACGGATTGAACTCGTGTATGAGGTTGTAGATTCGATAATTGAGGTGAAGATGCTCGACTTGTTGGTGTTGAGGCTGACGACTTTTTACTTGATGAGGAAGAACGAGTTGCTGAATTTCGAGGCAATATATTATTAACATTATTTCGTAAAACTTGCTAGAAAAAAGCAAAAAGTAAACTTGATTAAGAAATTGTCGTCTACGCTAATAAATTTAAGTATGCTAAAGTGAGCCCCGTAATTGAAGTCAAGCTTATAATAAAGCTCGAAATTTTTTTCTAACCTCTTCAAAGATCTTCGACGAAACTCCTAATGACTCATAAAATTGTTTTCTTATGCCCGACTGTTTCCACGAAAATGGTGTCATTTCCGGATCTGGAACTAGACGTTCCCACATTTCCATACTGACATACACAAACACTCCAAATGAGCTTGCGATCTTTTTCAGGGATAATCACATGTAGAGGTAACATAAAATTATAATACCTTTCCGGGACTGAATTCAGTATATTTTCCAAGTTAATATCCTTTTTATAAGTATCTGATGAAGTACTTTTTTCTTTAGAATCATTAGAATTAGAAATAGAAATGTCTGAATTTTGATTGTCCAATGATTGTTTTCCATTCGTTGTTGTTGCTGTTGGAACATGCGATAATGATGATGAACATTTTGATGGAAATAATGTGTCTAATATGCCAGTGAATTGAGTTATTATTGTCTCTGAAGTGGCATTTGAATAGTCTATGATAGGCTGCTTAAAAAAGCACGTAAACATTAATAAAGATTCAGCAAATTTAAAAAGATAAAGGACTAAAGAAGTTGAATGGCGCACCAAACTTATTAATCTTACTTGTCCATTGGCCGAACTGAGCCTTAATGGAACTTCTCCACCGCTACCATTATTGTTATCATTCTCCCCTCCAGCGAATTGATTGAAATTATCATCGGAATTTATTGGCGGTTGTTGTTGACCATTACCGCCAAATTCACTTTCGACCAAATTTGAATTACTTTCTACTGTTAACCCATTATTGAAGTCTGTGAAATCATCAAACTCGCCAAAGTCATCGGCATCATCCTCAACACTATTACCACTGGTGGCAAATGCAGAGAAATCGTCTTCAGCCGTTTCATTACCATCCAGTTCTAAACTATTATTTGTCGTCTTTATCACTATAGAGTCTCCTAGTAGATTAGGAAAAACGATTATGAGTAAAAAAGGCCGAAGAGAATTCGAGTAGAATGTACGAAAAAGAAAGCGATCTTAAACTTTGGGCGTTCAATCTGCAAAAGACCTAAAACGTGCCTATTATACTAGCCTCTTCCATATTTTTTTCCTGATGAAGACTGATGTTTTCAAAATAAGCTTTTTCGTTTAAGAGATGAACTTTCTCAAGATTGAACAAAAATAACCACGCGCATATCCTACACAAATTTGTCCCGATTCTTTGTAATACATAATACATACATGATCCTCTGATTTAAGTTATAATGATAACGATAATAGATAATAACCCATCTTTCCAATTTTATTTTCTTGGTAACCATGTAAATTCTTTCTCTAGCTACGCAAAGAAATTTTCAAGTGTTCCTACACCTAAAATATGCAAAGAACGAAACCTTTTTTTTCGAAAAGCTTTGTCGTTATTGTATTTTTGCATGATGATGTTGATGATGAATGATGCCATTGCTCATTATGGATACGTATATACATATATATATATATATATATATATATATATATATATGGGGGGTGTACGCTTAAAAAGACACCTCATTCAATTCTCGCTACTTTTTTTAACATAACACGATATAATCCCTCGTAAGCTGCTCAAAGGCAGCAAAAAATCGTTTTATTCATTCCTATTTCTAAGTTTTCACATCGATATTACAAAAAAGAAAAGGCAGCGGCAATTTTTTTTATTTGTGTTTTTTTTTTAAACTAAACTCTCCATGGAATATTATCACCCAACCGTCCGACACTGGCACAAACGAGTGGACAACGAACTAAAAAACCTTTACGGACTTTACGGCCGATATGACGTAAAATTTGTGGGTGAAGAGGACCTGAAATTAATGCAGGACATAGTGTGCGCGGGAACGGCTAAACTCGAAGAACTGGGTGAAATGGTTAGCGAGTTTCTGAAGTATTTAAAAAAGAATAAATATTATAAGACACTTAATACGGC